TTAGCCATAGGTGCTCCATGTGCCAGAAGGATGTCTTTACTACTGTGTGTTTGGAACAATGAGGGTTTTTTTGTTTGTTTATTTGTTGTTTTTGTTGGGGGTGTTTACTTGTAGAAATATTTGGAGATCATCTAGTCAGAGGCTTGAACATGACTGTGGTATACAGACTCAATCCCTTCCCTGTAGACACTCGTTTTCTCCTTTTTTTTTTTTTTTAATCTGGTTTAATATATATTCAGTTACTAATGGAAGTTAACTACCTCCAACAGGAAAGATTGTGATTATCACCTCTTAGCACAACAGTCCCTGCTGACTTCAGAATTTTGCTAGTTTCTAGGATACCTGTATCCAACTCTAATTTCTATCAGACAAAATGGAGCTGTAAAAACAAGAATTTTCACACTCTGAGCCCTCTAACCAGTGATCATTAGAAAAAACACAATATCTGCATGAAGAAGGCCTTGTATCTTCTGTCTTCTTTGTGAAACACAGCCTGGTTCTGAGAACATCTAGATAACTTGACCACTGGAAGTGAGATAGGCTGGGGAAAGCCTGCAGTGAAATTTTTGCCTGGGCTAGGACATGGTGCTATTTGGTGACATAAGGACAGAGCTGCTTTTGCACATGGCTACTGAGAGAAAGGTAGTACATATACTTACAGGGTATGTGACAGATCAGGATATTAGGATACAAGGATATTAGCAGTGTAGCAGACTACCCTGAAGCATGGCAAGTTAGGACTACCATAACAGTAGGCCAAGAAAGCGGGAGGACTGTGATCATTAAGACTGTGTAGCTACTCATCAGTTGTTAGTCTCTTGCATCACAGAAGTTTCTATTACTGCTTCTTTTGAGGTAGTAAATTGTTTAAGCAAAAAATTGAGTGGATCCAAGAGAATAGACCTAATTCAACAAGACTCTCTAGTACTATATGATTGCTGAGTCTACCCCTGACTTAAGAAGGGGAACTTTGAGCTCCTCTTTTCTTTTGTCCATTTAGTATTTCTTGAACGGTTCTCATTTGGGTGTCTGTAAATAAATAATTCTCAATTTTCCCTTAAAGTGTAACGATCACCGTGTAGTAACTGAAAAACAGTAGAAGCACACTTGTAAATGAAATTGCAGTTTCCTTATCTAGTTAAACATAGGATTTAAAACTGATGCTGTTACTCTGAAGTTACAAAAACCCTCAAGATGTTTTTACCTCATCTTCAGCTTCATACAGATATCTCTGTATGTGTACAATGAGACCAAGGAGTTTGTCCTTCAGTAACTAGACCCTTGGAGGTTATTATCAAAGCAGAAGCAAACAGCCCGGAGGTTTGTACTGACTTTCTGTTATAATAGACCTGTGTGACTATGTGAGAAGTCTGAATAATAATGAAATCCTGCTCCTTATCAGAAATTATTCCAGTGAGAAGCTGGAAGTGGCTGAGTTGAAGTGAAAGTTAAATAAGAGTCAGGATAGTTGAGGTTTTGAATCAAAAGAACTTTCTAAGAAACTCCCAAACTTCATATAACTATTTCCATAGCTTTTTGCTAACAACATTTGACAACCAAATTCAATTTCCATTCAGCCACAGCATCTTGAAAAAGGAGTGATTTGCTAATTCCTGAAAAGGCAAGACAAAGAAGAGCTCCCATTCACTTACTACTGATAGTGAGGAACCCCTGAGTGTGAACAACTGAAAATATAAGACATACTTTTTTTACATCTCATTTATTAATAAATGCTAACTAATATTTATGGGCAATCGAAGGTATAAAGTTTCAGCCTGAGCCATTTTAATATCATTGAGCATTGGGCTGCTATTGTGTTTCAACATTCTCAAGCATTTTCAATGTTTATATATAATATTTACTTTCTGCTAATCTTATTTTCCTCTGTTGTGATTGCTATTGGTGCCTTTGTAGCTAAAAGGCCAGTGCAATTTATTATACAATTACTTGTACTTACAAGGAACCAAAATCTACCCATATGTAAAATCTTCTCCCCTAGGCTTATATCATAGCTGAATTGGGTTAAAAAAGTCCTTCATTCTGAAGTACCATCAGGTGATAAAGTCATCCCTTATTCATGCTTAGCAACATGTAGGGGAAGAGGCAGCCTCATGTGAATTTATTTAGATTGAGAGACCTCACTTCACTTTTGTGAAAGATAATTTCCTCTGTCAACGCTGGGACTGCTTTAGAGCTACAGATCAATGCTGGATAAATTTTACTTTCCATGAGAACCTCCAACAGTAACAACTCAGCAGGATGAATCCAATTATATAAAGAAATATAGTGTATTTCTTACAGAACGTAAAGAAGTTTCTTGAATGGCATCTCAGTATTTGCTGAGTTAGAGATGAAGATCTTAATTCAGCAAAGACTAGATTCTGTTGTCAGAAAACTTAACTCAGCACAGTTACCCGTTCCAGTTCGTTGGCTGATTTTCTGCTCAAAACCAGATGCATCTTGTAACAGAAGTTCAGTTAAGCAAGAACGACAGAAGCAAAGGGCAAACAGTCATTTTTTTACAAATTAGAGTCGTGAGAAAATATTCTGAATATAAATATGCAGAATGTAGGTATTGTGCATGACATTTTAAAATAACAGGCAATGGATTGTGATATCAACACTAAGCTATCTTTTTCTTAGGAAAAGAGAGCAGGTCAGAGCTTCACAGAACTGCCCTAGCAACGCAACGCATTGCTGATTCTTGTCCTCAGCCAAATATCTTTTCATGCATAAAGTGAGATGGTTACTCAGGGAAATGGGAAGTGAAGAGGAACATGATGGAAAGGAATACAAAATACAAGGTTTTGATTTAATTCTAGTATTATTAAATGAGTGATAAGTATTTATTAAGTATAGCAAAAAATAGTAACCTGAAGCACAGAAAAGTGATGAAGTTCCTAGTTTCTTCTTACACTTTTTTTCCTTACTAAGCCATTGGAACCACATTCCCTACAGTATTACCTGCCAACCGACTTAATATCAAAAATATTTAAGGAAACAGTATATCATATCTGATAGATTCTCTGCAAGAGAATAATAAGCATACAAAATAAATGGCTGGTCCTCTGTACTGGGGAAGCTAATGTTTTTGTGGATTTGCATAAACTCCTTAAAATTGTGCAAAAGTCTATGACTTTGTTAATCTACAAATGCTTTAAATATCAAATGGAAACAACAGCAAGTCTTAAGAGTGTGTCTTTCACAACCAAACCAGACATATGAAACTACAGTCAGTCATTGCTCCAAGATTTGTTTGTCTGTCAGTCAGAAATGGGCCTTATCATCTTTGGAATAGATAAATAGTGGGAGATTAAAAGATCTATTAATACAGGTCCGTGGGAATCAAGACTTTGTAAAAACTACTTACAAGCATGGGTGAAAAACTATCTAAAATACTAAAACTCAAGAGAGACATTATCCTTTGAAGCTTCAAGAAAAATGACAAAAATTGGTATAAAATAAACCATTCTCCCTCTTATCCCAAGCTGAGATAGATTTTATTTGTTCTTTTCCATGCTCCAGAGTGTATGATAGAAGATCAGGTAGAGGTCAATGTCCTGGGAGGGTCTCAATGACAGAAAAGTGCTTTTGCAACTCTGGGATTTACATAACCAAGATCTGCCCAAAAGTGTACTTCATTCACTGGGACTAGATTATGCCTGTAAGAGTACTCTTGTATTGTACTCAGGAGATGTAATTATATTGGAAGAAAATATATCTAGGCAAGTTTTATTCCTGTGTTTTGGTTAATGTCACCATCAATGCAGCTAGGGCACCGTGTTTTTCAGCAAACCTTAGCTAACAAAGAATACCATGACCACTGGAGGAGGAACAGAAATCTTGCTTGTACATTCATAGATCATCTGTGGTCAGGAGCAGGAACTGGCACAATACATGAGGTACTTTTGAACAGTTCTAATTTAGCTCAGAATTCAGACCTTATTAGCTCTGAAAGGTAAATGTAATTTTCTTTTGAAAGACGCCTCTTGTAACTCATAACCTAGCTCTTTCCTGTATACTAAGTCAAAGAAGATCTTTATCTAAAACAGGAAGTACATAACAGATGGCGGCTCCATGAGCAGTTACATTATTATTGAATAATTTTATTAAGGGACAAAACCAGGACCATTAGGCCATGCAATGAGTAGAGATTGGTCACATCTAATTCATTGTCTCAAACACAACTGAGGAAATTATGTTAGCTATTAAAAATTAATGCAATCTACAGATAAAATTAAAAGGCAAATGTAATGAGTGGGGACTGGATCCTCAGGTGGTTTCTTTCACTAAACTCTGCCTGCAGGAAGTAGAACTTCACTAATGGTCCTCAACTGAGAATAAACGCTTCCAAACATACTCTTTTTCAGCTATATTATGTAGATAAATTATCATTTATTCCTGCTACACACCTGTAATTTTAATAACTGAACTTATCTGAGTGGATGTCATGACTGCTGACAGAGAATAATGACTTGTGAATCAGCAGATAGTTGCTATCTCCGTCATAGCCTCTGATTTGCCAACTAGCCACAGGCAGAGTAACCTTATCTCCCCCATCTGGATTTTATCAGCTGTTTTGTGAGGTTAATAAAATAGTGGAGAGCTGTAAATAAAAAGTTATTATATGTGTTATATTACCTATAATAAGTAGCAGGTCTGTCACAAACTACAGAACATTTAAATGCAAGAGATGCTCTATTGGTTCACTAGTCTCTGTGGAGTATACAATTTGCTTGGTCTGGGGTCAGGGTGTTTTCTCCAGCCCTTCAGACTACCAGCACTCCTGCTTCAGCCACCTTGCTCTTGTAGCTGGCACCAGACAGGAGCACACAGGGGTATTAGACCAAAAGGCACAAACAAGATCAGGTAAGATGTGGTTTTTAGCTTTCACAGATATCAAAGCAATTTCCATCAGGTACAGGTATTGTAAAGACCCACCCACCACTCCTAGTAAAAGAGCACAACTGTCTTTGCAGCAAAATATAGTGTGGACATACCTGAGTCAGTCATCTCAGACTCCCAGCCAATGTGATTTGGTGCAGGGTGGTATGCCTTTACCCGCTGAAATCCGGGAACAGTTTAATGTCAGGTCCAAAGAGCTGGTGTTGCAAACCCACTGGCTCTGCCCCCAGCTTAAGTTTCAAGTTCAGCTTGCAGATCGCCAGTTTTGGTGACCTAAGTGTCAAGTGTATTCATAGCTTCAGGCCTCCAGCAACTCTGTTTTGGACACTGTCTATTATGCAACCAGCATCAGACAACAACTGAATGAGGGGCATCTGTAGCTGAAAGCACAGGGAACGTTGCCAGCTCCTGCAAAATTTTCCAGAGGGAGAGAAAGTCAGCTGGAGCTGTTGATGTGATGAGGGGAGATGCACAAACTCACTTAGAGAGTTGAGGCCCGCATAAGAGTCTCATAGCTGCCTGGCTGACCGCATCTCCAGGGTTGCAGACTCTCAGTTGCAGCTGCTCCGGAAAGCCTCCCTTCATCAACTTAATTAGTCGTACCCTGACAGAAGAAAAGGGGAAGAGCAAACAACATTTGCTTTGCCTAATTCCAGGGCATAAAGCCATGGTATTTTTGCTCTTCTTTCTGCCCTTTGCCTGTGAAAAGAAAACGAAAAATCTGGGAGGTGAGCCTTGTTTAATGTGCTGAGCTTTATCAAGTAGTAGGCATGTGTAGGAGCTGCATCAGACTGCTGCATTTGCAAGGAGCCACAGGTGTGCTACCCTCGGTGTGTGTGGATGTGTGGGTAGGAGGGAAGTGCAACATAAAACCCCAACTCCCTTTCTCAGTGAACTTAGGATCCTCTGTGATATTGGGCCGCTTCATGGTGTGATTGGGCAAAAGGTTCATTCAAAATCTACCACACAAGGAATGCAGCTGATTTCTTGAGGTGCATGTGCTCATTCTTGAGGTTTATGACTCCACAGAAGATGAGGCCTTAGTCTAAAGTGGCAAACTGGCAGGTGTGGCAAGTGACGAGTCCTCTCAGATTGGCATGGCACCCACGGCAAATGATCCCTGGCAGGCTACAGGACTACTAGGATGCTGTGGGAGGTGTGTATGGAAAAGACAACAGTCACTTGCAGCTAGGCCTGGATGTGGGTTTAGATGAAGGATGTGTAGCGAATACACATAAATGGGAGTGGTATCTTCCCAAAGTTGCTGTGAATGGCTTGTGATTAAACTTTCTCAGCAAACTTATAGCATGAAATGCTTTTTCCTGTGAGTTATTCAGAGCCTATAAAGAACTCAAGGCTTAAACAGAATCAGCTAGTACTGTCAGGTCTTGCCTCTTGGTTGCCACTTGGAGACAAAGCAAACACTCCCCTGTCTCCAGTAAAAATGAGCTTTCTGCTCACGTTCGCCTTTCTGAAATACATTCCAAGAGTGGAGAGGGAGCAGTGTCTTCCTTGTTAATAATTTATCTAGTTTTCTTTTGGGTCAGATGGGAGTATTATCTCACAAGTTACCTGAGGGCATGCAGTAGCACCCAAAACACAGGGAATAGAGCCTTGCTACTAGAGAAAATATAAAGTATAAAATGTTTTTTCCTATAAATGCTTCTCAGATATATTTGATGTTCTAATAGATTACTTTAAAGCTGAAAGAGATGTTTTCATATTTGTTGACTTAAATAGTTTTAGGATAAATCATCATGGGGAAGCAGAGGAAGGAAGCTGTATGCCTTAGAGACTACACGCTTATAAATTGACTAAAAACAAAAACAAAACACTTAAATATGTTACTGACAGCAATCCACACAAACCATTAAACAAAAGAGAGTCTTCCAATTAAAGTGGGAAACAATGGAAAATATTTCTGGTAAATGTGCCCTTCTTTTGATTCTTTTGATGAATGGAACTTTAACTTGTGAAAATGAGATCAAGTTACATTTTGGTTTCCAAGAAAGGAGTGAAAATTGAATTTTGACTGCAGAGTTGCTGTATTAGCAAGGCTTGAATAACGCTTTTATTTTACTACATCCAGCATAAACTTACATGTTGTAAACAATCACGTAATGGCAGAAATATAAATGATTTGCCAAAAGTGACTCCTATCGCAGATGACCATCATTGCAGATATATAAAACAGGAGCTCAGAGTGATTAATTAAAAGGTCGATTTCTGCTTGTAATAGGGAGCAGGCAAGCTCACAGAGTAAAAAAATGTCTCTTGGTACAAGTGTCACTGGCTGAATTCAACAGAACTGATTTCATTAAGAACAGCAGAATAACTTGATTCACAAGTGCACATGAATTTGTATGAGAAATCTAAGACATAATATAGACTTATGGAAACGTAAGTACTTTTGGATGGATGTAGACACTTCTTACAATAAGGTAGCCTCTACAAAGGAAAACAAGCAGTGGTATACTTTAATGTTGTTGACTTCAACCTGGACCCAGGCCCTTCTGTCTGTTGGGTTCAAGGCATGAACCAAGTGGAAAGCTATTAGAGAAAAATGGTTGACACTAACAGCATGGCTTTCTGATGAGGATGTTCAGGTTGTTTTAGTACTGCTGTCTTCTAAATTGTGCAAGTTTATTGCATAATTGCTGTTAACCTGGTGAGTCTTAATCAGAGGTTTCTTATTCAGTGCTTGGACATCATTTGTTTGGTGAAGTGGAAATAAGCAGTGCATGTGAACTAAATTATATTCTTGCTCCTACTGACAGCAAAAACAGATTAAACAAAATGAAAAAAAGTAGATGTAATGTTGGAAGGGAAATGTAAAACTTATTTTGGGAGACTTACAGGGGTGATTAGGGTAAGGAAGAAACAAATCTCTTTTTCTCTCTGGTCTGTAATGGAAATGCATGCAATCATAAGACAGCATATCAGAACTCATTCTGTTTGTCCACATTATCTCATCCAGCCAAAAGAGAATTTGAGTTCTCTGATGCAATCCACACTGCAACCCACACTGGCTCTTAGACAAACAGCAGTACAGACGTAATTTTGATATGTTTATACTTGTGACTGAGATCTTTGTGCTGTGGTACAACTCCACAGGAGCTTCTAGGGGAGAGACTGACAGGGAGGAATACCCTAGCAGTCTCTGTGAGTCTTGTCCTCAGGGTGTCCCTCAAACTCAGGCCTGGTAGCAAAAGAGTTGTGACTCCACAGGGATTATTGCTGCAGTGTCTGTAATATGGTCTGTAATAAATAGACATATGGAATGGCTAAATATGTTTATCGATAATTTGGTTTTGGGGTGGCTTTTTTTTTTCTCCTTTGGAGTTACTGTACCACAAAATGTCAGCCCATGTAGTTTCAAAACACTGCATGGAATTAAACACACAATAACATTAGTTCTGACAGATTTTACAACCAAAATCTCACACAGTGAAAATGTATGACATTCTGAAGAGTTTAGTAATCAAACCCAACAGATGGGCAAAAGTAATAATTCCTATAAGCTTGAAATTAGAAAGCTGCTTTGTCTACTTGTTTGTGATTCTTCTGACATCAGAGTTAAGTGACTTCCTAAACTGAGGTATCCAGTGACATTACAGATTCCCTTGAGTGCCCTAAACCATCTGCAAGGCATTGGCAAGTATGACACAGAGCATATGGGAGACCTGCTGCCTTCTGCAATGGCAGCTGTATGCCACTAGGCATTTCAAGAGGCGTTGGACACCTATGCTTAGGAAGCTCTGTCCTTTCCCTTAAATCCTGTATTTTTCCATTAATTCCCTTGCCATTAACTGTAAGTGTTAGAACGTGCAATAATTAGCTGAGAGTTATTGTTTGTCTTTCACAGGTAAGAGCGAGATATATTATCTGTGAAAGTCTGACCATCACATGAATTAATTCTGCCTTTGAAAAGTGACACCAAATGTTATCAACAAAGCTAAAAGGTAATGTGTTTGGATGCTTTAAGTGAGTCATGTGAAGTCCAGTTTCTTGTTATATTACGGGTAGGATGATTCTAGATGTTTTTTGCCAAGGCAGACCAGTACGGCTTTAAGTGAGGGGGAAAGATATGATTGTCTGCTTGACTGGACTGTAAGTGAGCAAGATCTCAAGACTGGTTTGCCACAGTGGTATTTTGACAATATGCCTGCAAGGTCAGGCTCTACCAACAGAACTGCATTACTGATCTTGATGAAGAAGTTATATAAATGAAGTTGTTTAGCCAACTAAAATGTAGTTGGGGGAACAAAGGGTAAACAAAACGTCTGGAAAGGAAATGAAGTAGGCATATAAAGCAAATGCTTAAGGGGTAATTCTTTGGAGTGACTTTCCCTGAACAATATCTTCAGCAGCTCTTGGTTAGAAAAGAATAATCATAGTGTTCATTTGGCTGAATTCATCATTAATTTTATGCCTTGTTTTTGCTGTATTTTCTGTCCCAGTTGTACAAAACTCACAGTAATAGCTTTCAGGTAGATGTCCAGATATGCAAAAGAAATAGCTGAATAATTTCACCTGGCTCTATACCCAAATATTTCTCACTGAAAATGAACTTCAATTTGGAAAAATAGAATAAAAAATAGAATTTTGAAAATTAATCATTTTTCAAATACAAGAGAGGATTCATATTTTAACTTAGAATCTCTTTATTTTGGTAATAGTCTCTAGTTATGATTGAAATATATTTATCATTATACTATTTAGATAACTAAGACTCTGACCTAGAGGCTGTGGAAGTCATTAAAGCCTCTCACTTTAATTTGGTTGGCATTTTATCATACCATGATTTGTTTAGCATCAAGCAGGTTTATTATCTGTTATATGATATCTGATCAATGGAATATGATAGGGACAGTGATGATGTGTAGGAATGTACCTGTTTTTCTTTTACTTCTGTGCTGACTCTGTCAGTTACCAGGGTTTAAACTTGTCTATGTAAAATGATTTTCAGTAAGTGTCTGGCACAGATATATGGTCACTTTTCACAGTAAGTGTAAAGACCGCTGCCATTAAGAGGTTTGTAAAGACCAGTTGGTAGATAGTGTCTGCTTGGTCATGATAAACATGTTAAACTGTCACAGTCGAGAACAATAACTCCGTAACTAAGAAAAACTCTGAGAAACCTTACCAGCTTCTTCCAGGATTTGAGAGGTTTCTCAAATAGCGCTACAAAGATCTGCCAAAGCCTGAGTCTGTGGATTGCAGAGGGTTTCATATTGAAAGAAAATCAGATTTTTTTTATATTACTTTTCTGAGCTGTTTATCAAAATTCAAACTAGAGCAAACATTCCTATATAGCAATTTCATATATTCTTGCAAATTCACACTCTCATTCTGCAATTTGAAATGAAGCATGAGGATTGCTGGAGTTAGCATGTTCTTTTCACTGAAACAGCTGCTGTCAGAACAGGTTGTAGCTCTTTGAATCACTTTAACTATAGCACTAATGGCATTAAGTACAGGTGCATGGGTCACAAGGTAGTACCTTCCATGATTTCCCTAGAGCTGCTCAGAATAATGCTGCTCAGAATAAGGGAATTACCAAAGTGAGCAAGTAGCTTCAAAACCATCACAGCTCCATTATGGGTGGGAGCACTGTTGTAAGTTTGATAGGTCACAATTTGATTCTTCAAGTGCCAAATGGAATGAGTCTGCTATTGCTGGGCACAGAATTGGACAATGTGTTTTACAGAACAGCTCACAGCTTTTAGCCTAAGTGATAGAAGAATTAAGTTTCAAGGGTGTTCAGGTCTTATGTAAAAAGTCTGGCAGTATTCTCTAGGTTATAGCTATTAAAATGGCTGCTACAGACAACTTTGAAAATTGCATCATTTAAAGCACTCACTGCGTTCTTCATGGTCATCAGGTATGGTACATGATATACAGACTAGGCATAATAACGAAAAATAATGGACCTGGGTAATACTGGTCCCTACATATGTAACAGAAGCATTTATAAATTCGTTCTTTCTTTTTTTTTTTTTTTTTTTTTCCAAATAATTGCTTTCAGACCTCTGTTTAATCATTATTATTTTTTAATATGTGCTAGTATTTAACATTTTGTACTTCCCAGGGTTTTAAATATCTGAGTTAATATATCTCCTCAGAGGGCATTTTATTAAGAAGTGTAGTGGGGATGGTGCAAAAGACTGCTAACAAGTAGCCTTCTGTTACCAAAGGCTAATTCCTCAAAGATAGTTTATGCATGCTTTGCACAGGGCTCCCCTGGTCCTTTACTGCTCCTAGAATATTAATCATGTTGTCACCTATTTCACAGGCAGAAATTCAGGCAACTGCACTAAAGAGAACAAAAACCATTTTGTGTGTATTTAAGCAATTATTATACATCCAGCAATCAGCTTTCATATCCCTCTACAACCTTGTTTGACTGGATCTGTAGTGATACAAGGGGAAGGCTCAGGTCTCTCCATTAAACCATTTCCCCATAGCATGTGTTATTTTCAGGTAGGTTTGTTTCATTTAACTCCTAAAACAAGTGGGCTAGGCCAGCTTCTCAGGCTTTTTAGAAGCTAATTAGGACCCAAGATTTAAAACTTTGAGCATTTCTAATTCTATTTAATCGTTGTTTTATCTCATTGTTATTCGAGGAGGAAGCAATGAATCGTATCTGTTAAATAATGAATGTGCTGTAATGGAACATATTCCAAGTTTTAACAGTTCATTTGCAGTTAATGACAGAGAAAGAAAGCATAAGGAGAGAGAAATGCATCTGTCAAGATGTAATATTGAAAGAATACATTATGATTATAGATTATAATACTAAAAGAATAGATTATTATCAAACATCCTATACAAGTTAAGTAACTTGTAACTTAACTGCAGCTGAGACAGTAATCATTCCAATCACAGCAGAGGAGTAGTTACCTGCAATTTGTAGAGGTGAAACAATTTCACCAGAAAGCAATTATAGGAGTCATTTAAGGATGGAGAGAATGATGATACCTGATAACTGCCAGCCTTTGCCATAGGCTATGTCTACCCTTAAGGACTGGCAGTACTGTTTCTGGATTCGGGTGATTATTACAATTACGTGATGATTCTGCACTAACCCAGAGACCAGCATATCCCCATGCTCTATTTCACGATTGACTGAACAAGACAGGTTTGCCTCAGTCAAGGTCTGGCTTTGGCCAGCTGCAGAAACAGGACCCTGGTGAATGCTGAGAGCTCTCATGTCCTTACAGACCTCCCTCCTTTAGGCCACTTCATGCAGACAACTTCAGTTTGCACAAAAAAGCTCTGCAGGCAGGATATATACAGCTTAAATGCATACTGTATTTTTTTATTGGCAAATGTGAACTAAAGTCAGATGAAATTTAATGAGCTACTAGGCTAAGCATTAGTATGCTCATCACCTCTAACAGGACTCCTGGAGGCTTTCTGCTCAGGCAGAAAGGTCAGTCGGGTATCTATCAGTCGGGAAGATGGTCAGGCTCTGCTTCTCTCTGAAACAAGTCCTTAACATTGCTGAGTTGCCATCTTCCACCAAGCCTGTTTTCTTTCTGTGAGGATTTTGTATCTTTTCTAGTGGGTTTGCTTGTTTGTTTGTTTTTATTTTGAATCATTAGCTACTCATGATCATCTTAATTGCCTTGCATCTTAATTTCCTTAGAGGTCTGAGCCAAATTTATATGGCTGGGTTCCATCAGTAGAAGAGCTGTGGGTCCTTAAAGCATAGATGAAACCTTAGAGCATAGATGATGCGGGTCCTTAGAGCATAGATATAATCACTGAAACCTGGGGTATTTTTACCTGAATTTTTAGAAGACTCGGAATTTCACTTGTGGAACAGAGAAATTTATTGCCAGGTCTTTATTCTCATTTTTGACCAAAGGAGCTTTATGAGAACCAACATGGGAGGGAGATAGAAGACAGAAAAACACTCGAGTATCACTCCCTCTTTAGGAACATGGTGTACATTTCTGATCTTGAATGGTGATACATTCTGAGAAATTTTGACTTCAACTCACATTTTTAAAAAATATCTAAAATACATCTTTATGTTAGAATGCTTTCTTTTCAATTGCACATTTGAATAACTCCAGTTTCTTTTAAATATTGTACTGTAGCTAGTGAAGATTGTTTTCTGAAAAGATGAACAAACAGTTACTGTAATCTTTATGCCTCAGTACATGGAACAAAAGAAAGAAAATGCAAATTTAGGGTTGGGGGAGGACCTGAAAGAAATTATAACATTATTCTTTTCTACTGTGTTAGTTAGCTGTAATGCACTATTCATCTGTTCTCAGGATAGATCAGTTCCTGCATTTTTTTGAAGTATTGAGTAGTTTACTAAATAGATTACGTATGAATACATCTGGAGTATTAAGATCTTTCTGGTGGCTTACTAAAGCTGCAGCCTCTATCTTTGTAGGTGTTTCTACAGAAAATTTTATCAGAATTGCAGGTCACTGTTTCTTGGAAAAGTGTGTGCCATGTTTCTATACATCTAAATGCACTGGGAAAACAACAGAATGATGATCTAGCAACAGTGATTGTGCAGGTGGAGCTGTTGCAGGCAGAAATTTATTCACCTGGAAGAGACTTCTCCCCAGTTCCTTGTAGCCTGCTCCCCTGGGTAGGCTGCTATTCCTTTCCTTGCCCCTCTGTACTAGCCTTGGAGTAGTCAGACAGTTGGGTCTGATGGTCTTTGTAGCTCCCTTCCAACTGAACTATTCTATTCTATGAATTTGTAAGAGCTATTTAAGTACACAAGCTAATACAGGATTATTTATTTACTTATTTATTTACTGTTAGTATCTTTCAAGGCTTATGATAACACATAAGAAAATATTGCATGTTTTGTGACAAAACTTGAACCTGCAATGTACTGGGTGGTAGAAAGGAGGAATAAGGGCTCTTGTTTTTGTGTTTATTTTGTTCCTTTTTTCTTTTTCTTTTTTTTTTTTAACTTTTCAAAAAATAATGCTATCAGAACATCTCTGTTAAGTCCTGAAGCACAGAAGATGAATGTCTTATGTTGTACAGTGCAAGGTTCAAACATTTTGTCAGTAATGTCCTTTTCTTTTAGTGTCAGTTGATAAAGCATATTTCAAGGATTTTTAGTTTGTTAGTTTTGGTCAATCTACTTATTGAAAACCATGAAGCACTGAAGAAAAGCATTTTCAAAACTGTGGAGAATGCTACTGGTTCTGTGAAAATCCTCTATGTTGGAGACACTGCATTGCCCTATGCTCCCTATATGAGATTAACTTCTTTCACCCACTCTTTCTCACGGAAATACTGTCTTCTAGCTTTTGGTAAGAACAGGAAATTATTTTATTCCTATTTCATTGTGATTTTTTTTTTTTATGTAAGCTTCTGCTCTGCTCCCAATCCTGCTTCCTCTACCATCCAGAAAACCCAACTTCATAACATAAATATTCCCTCCAAAACAGACAAAAATCTGAGATGAACCTTGCCTCGTGTGGGGCAAGCATGTGTCAGCTCACAGAAAGCTTGATCTAAATCAATGTAAAAGCAACAAAACTATTTCCATTGGCCTGATCAAGAATTAGGTCATGTCTGTTGTATTTACCAGAACCTAATAATAATAATAATAATAACAATAGAAAATATTTCCTAGTATAGGGAATTTTTCATCATAAATGTTGTGAGCTTCAGCATCCCTAATGGATGAAAGTATACCTGAGGTAAGAGCAAATGAAGTCTTGAAAAGAAATGCAGGCACATACCCTAGCAGCTCCCACACATATTTAGTAACACTTTAAATTTGGTAACATTTCTCTCTCCTGACAAATGCTTACATCTCTGGACTTCAGGAAATAAAACATATTTTACTAAATAGCTGTGACACAGTGCTGAGCTTCACTGACCTAAGTAATCTAATGGCTCATCTGGCTATCAGATGTATGTGTTTATAGTATATATTTTTGTGTTCTAGTAGCTGACTGGGGGCACGTTACCAAGAAAATGGATTTGGACCCCCAAGAAAATGCCTCCTGGTACTGGAAAATCCCAGAACATAGGTTAATGCCCATAAGTTGCAATTTGAGAGTGCAGATTGGATGTTAGGAAAACCTTCATGCAGCGCTAGAACAGGGTGCCAATGTGGTTGTAAAATCCATTCTCAGAGATTTTCAGACTTGATAGATGAAGCCACATGTGACTTTATCTAGACTGGGCCTAGTCCTTCTTCAAGTATGGTGTTGGACTTGATGACCTCCAGAAACGCCTTCTAACTGACATCCCTATGAGAACAAAAGCACAAGGAAGTGCAGAACAAGTCTCCTAAGTTTTGTAAATACTATCTGGTATGTTTCATTTTCTTCAAGCTTTGGTATGAATCAGAATTCTGCTTCAGGCACTTTCTAACCACAACAGAAGATGGTGTCTACCCCATCCAGAGTGAGGAAGCATGCAAAGTTCAAAAAACAATAACAGTTTCTCTAGGGATCATGCTTTAAAAGACCTTTTCCTTTAAAAAGATACCCAACCTAGATGGCATCACATACAGTAACTAACCAGCTTGGATTTGTAGTGCAGGAAGGAAGGAACCTTTGAAAGATTTCTACTCTGCAACTGCAAGGAGTGACCTCTAAGGAATGAAGCTCAATATAATTTGGCCTATTTCCTTCTGATTAATGATTTTCCTACTGTGAAAGAAATCTATAGTTGTTAACAAGACTGTCATGACCACTTGCAAATATCAGTTGCTCTGTTCACTGAACTCCGTTTTGTTGTGTGTTTTTTTTTTGTTTTTTTGCTTTTTTTTAAATTCATAGAGGATATATTGTTAATAAGAAATTGACAGCATAATGAATTAACTGCAGCATTTATCTTTCTAAATGCTATGGGATTGTGATACATGTTTCAAATCATGTGCACTGAACTCTGAAGTATTTTCTGTCTCCTTGAGAGGCCCACCTTAAACATAAGCAAAACCAAAGCAGAAAGTATCACAGAATTGGTTATTACTTATTTCCAGTATAATACTCAACACTTGACAAGGTACTAAAAACTCATTAAAAGATTACTGCAGTAAGAACCACCTAACAATACCACATGATTTACTTGCAAATACAAACTTAAAAGAAATGTAGGAAAATGAGAATGCTGCAAATGAAAATATTTGACAGATGAAGGTATATGTATGTCTTATTTCAAACATTCTTAGTAAGAGCAAAAACGTGTGAATGGAGTTTGGTTCCACTTTTCAGTATTTGAGCACACAAAAAGGTCTTTGGAACAAATCTCTTTCCATTTTGAGGAAAGGAACGAATTATTCATGACACTGTCAACACTCTAAAATAAAATGAAATTCTAAAATACATTTTCAGAGTGAAATAGATAGTTTCAAAAGTATACCTAAAAAGTAGAAGACCATGACACATTTGACAAGCAACTTTCCTTCCTGTGCTCAGCTTGTGATGGCATCTATCCTTGTCTTCTTCAGTTCACTCATTCAGCTTGGTCACAGATTTAAAAATGCACCTTTTAATGCTTCCTGTCCCTGGTGACAGTTTGTTGTTGTTGTTTTCACCACCCTCTCACTATCCATTCCTCTTCCTGTATTTTGCAATCAGTGTTTTATATCCATCATACCTCAGCTTCGCCTCTTAAAAAGGCCTAGATTATCTTTCCAAGCTCTTCTACTTATTTCTCCTTGCAGTCTCAGTGTCTGCAATGTTTCCTCACTCCAGTGCCCTGCACTGACCTCTCCAGCTGCCTTACCTAATAATGAAACTGATCCCACCATGCTCTAACACCTTCTTCCTCAACAACACATACAAATGGCCATTTACCTCCACCAGTGTCTTGGTGTCCACCAGCATCTTAGCTTCTCCGGCCTTGTCCATTCTTGTTCCTCCTCCTGTTGCTCTTCCAAGGGGTTCTTTTTCACTAATGAGCAGGAACATAACTTTTGTTACAAGCAATCAATGTGTTTCATGTATTCTTTTAAGCAAGGGATCCTGCTAAATTCCTGATATCCCTTTTATTTTGTCTTAAAGTTGTATCGTTGTTTCTAACTGGTTAATACAGATTTTCTGTTATTATGAACATCAAAAGGAAAGTCTGGAGACTGTGACAGCAGTGATAATTTTACAATCAATAAAATGCATGTTTTGCCTCAGACCCCAATTTTATCTTTGTAATTTACCTTCTGCCTCAGAAAAATGCTCTGCCAGTAGCTTTCATCCAGTTTGCTCTTTAATATTCTCTGCATCATGAGTAGCATCTCTGAAGTTATTCATTTTTTCACCTGCTTCCTGACTGTGATCAGAAGCTATGCACTTATCTGAACTCCATGCAGATAAGGACATAAATTTATTCCTCTTCTTAGGAGCTCCTTTCTTTTTTGTACTCTGGTGTATAGATAGAAGAAGCTGTAAGTCCAGACATCCCCACTGATATGGTGGGAAGGAGATACTGTCGTATCTGTATGTGCAAAGCCAGGTGTCTTTCTATCACACGAGCCATTGGCCCACTCCTGATGAATTCTGGAATGTACCAGACGCTGTAGGAGAGACCTCTCTGATGTTGCCTGGTACATGTTGTAGGACAGCATTGTCCAGTTGGCAGACTACACTGTTGGATCCTGGCAGCAGGATAGCTCTGTCTGTAGCTAGAGCTGGGAAATGGAAATAGTGCTTCATTTGCCAAGTTTTCCGTAGGGATGACAGGTTTACTGCAGCAGGAACCCCCTTGATGACAGCAGCAACTAGTCATTTTATAGGGCTGCAGCCATGTGGACTGTACTCTGCAAATACCTTCTGTTACTGATGCTGATGTGGCTGAGTGTCCAGAAGCTTGTTCTTCCCATTAAAGAAGCAACTTTCTGTAGATGTGAATGGGATACAGAAAAGCTTTTCATGGCTTCTTGTAGCCAGGATTGGTTCTAGATCAGTCTTTACTCCTGGTAAGGAGTAAATGTAGTCTCTGAGATGGTCCAGATAACTTAGTGCTTGTTCTTCGTTCTGTCACTCTCATAGATAGACAGAGGGATAGACAGAGGATTCTTCTGACCTGGAGACAGAAGTTGTTGTTTTGCCTGCAACAGAGAGTTTGAAACTTCATTTCAAAGTATTTGGGGAACTTCGTGACACCTCTGTGAATTCTCCTAGCAGCTGTCCTCAGGCTGGGACTCAGCAACTGGTATAAAGCTCACTGTGGCATGCTCAAGGCTCACTGGGGATGTGGCAGTAGAGTTATGCAGGAATAATGTGGCCCTGAAGAAGTGCAATTAGCAGACTAATAAATATAGAATGAGGGAACAACAGCATGCAGAGGGTAAATAGGTGAAATAACAGTCCGATTCCCAGTAATAAAATAATAAATAAACTGTATTCCATTTTCTTCTTCTGCATTCTTTTCTTTCATGGTGTGTCTGCTGTTTAATGATTTTTATGAGCAGCCCTCAAAGGTTTATAATGCTCTTTTTTTTTTTTTTCCAGTGTGGGTTGATCTATTTCCACTTCAAGTGTTGCCTTTTAATCACAAATGCCATTCAGCTGTGCATGGAGTTTAAGCTCTGTGCAAATCCCTCACATGTACCAGAACTACTGCTTGTTTAAAGTGAAATCTCTGAGAACTCTGTGAGGTGGAAATCTCTGCAGAACTTTGCTCCGAATTCGGGTAGTGCTGTGGAAAACACCCCTATGTCTGAGCAGTAATCAGCAAATACAGAACAAGTAGCCTGGGATTCTTATCTTTCAAACCCTAGCAGCTCACACAGACCATAAAGATATCATGGACTCCAGGAGGAGAGCACAGCTGATACACAAAGCTGGAGGGGAAGCAGGGAACTTGACAGAAGAGAAGAATGAACACTACAAACTCCTTATCATCCAACATCAACTTCACATTGTTACCTAGCATGTAGAAGAAATGGATGGAGTCATCATTCTAACTATCCCTAGGGGAACACAGAAGCTGTTTCCAGCATGTTGAATCTGGGCTGGTTCCAGACCAACCCAGATCTTGTAGAACAGTTTGTGTCAACGTTGCCAAAAAGTGTCAGTTTCCAAAGCTAGGAGGTGACAAGCACTGAGACCACCCATATAAACTCTTTGTTCATTGCTGTTTGTGTTGATATTTCTATAAAAAGAAAAGAAGATAAGATAAAAATGAATACAAGACAGGTTTTGTTGTTGCCTATAATAAAGTCATTTCATTTGGTATTGATGGGTCATCTGTGCATTAGAGGAGTACAAAAAAATGCACAACTGGTCTTGCAGTTTATTGTTCTAGTGCTGACATACACCCTAAAGTACAGAAGAGCCAAAAATCCACCTAATATACCCAACAGCATCTAATAATAATGGACTGTGTAGCATGCAGTCTCATGATCCTGAGTTCCTGTTATTATTTGTCAACTGAATGAGACAGTCTTTCTCTGATTCTACCAACATGAAACTTCCACTTGGACGACTTTCAGTTCTGATGGTTAGGCTGCCTTCTCTATTTTTTGCCACTTTATTTGTGACTAGGTTGCACCCATCTCTCATTACATTAAGACCATTCTCTGTTTAAGTAATTCTTCTCCGTGTGGTGTTGCAGACATTTCCCATGCTCGTGACACGGTTTCTCTGTCCTCCTGGTCATCCTGCCATTTGTTCCAAATGTTATGTGCACAACATGGAAACGTGCTGACTACAAAGGGTTAGAGCAGGCTGGAACAAGTTAGGAGAGAGGCACAGCAAGGCGTATCATACCAGAACAACAGCATTGATGATTATCAGGCTATCTGTCAAAATCCAGCTGTCTCTCTCTTTCTTTTGGTAGGTGTGTTGATGCATCCTGGAGCTGCACTGGCACGCATCACTCTGGCTTCTCATGGTCAGCCTGTGATTACTTGGCTCTTCCAAGACATAACACTTTTATGTGTGTTTCCAACAGATAAGAGTGTATGTTTAGGAAAAAAAAAAAAAATCAATTTTGTTTCACTTTATATGAGACAATTGCCAAAATATTTTTTTCTTTCTTTTTATTTTTTTTTCTTCTCCCCATATTCTTCATTATTGGCAAGCTGTTTTACAACTCTTCTAATGTCAGGGATCCAAAATTCTGTAGTGTGTTTAATCAATGTAATCCGTGCATATGAATGGCTTTTCTCTATGAACATCCATGTGCCTTTCAAATGTTTTTTTAGAAGAATGAATTATGCTAGTTTTCCAACTAGTCAGAAGTATTGAAGCCTTTAGACTTCTGCTTCTGAAGTCTGAGTATAGCAGCTGATCTATAAAGCAATGTTTGTCCTTTCCCTCTTGTCTCTTGCTGTTTTCTGTTGTTGTCTGCTGGCAGGTTTTCCAAATCAATTTTGAAAAGAATGTAAGACAGGACTTATTAAATGATAATATTAAATATCCCTCATTTTCACTTTGATAGTTTTTCAAATAAAAAAAAAATGAAAAGTAAGCATAACTAGATTCCTTTGCTTGGTACCAATTCTGCTTTCCTTGCAAGGGTCTTCTGAAAGAAGAAATGACAGAAAAGTGTTACTTTTGCACTTATTTCAGTGGCCTGAAAATTTGACACTGCCATCAGACTGCAAAGAGAGAAAAAGATACCACAAATGTGTGTACCTCAGCAGCTGTCTCCCTTCTGGATCTTCTCCTTGAAGAACTTTAAGAACTTCTTTACTGAAAGGGTTGTTAGGCACTGGAACAGGCTGCCCAGGGAGGTGGTGGAGTCACCATCCCTGGAAGTCTTCAAAAGACGTTTAGATGTAGAGCTTAGGGATATGGTTTAGTGGGGACTGTTAGTGTTAGGTTAGAGGTTGGACTCGATGATCTTGAGGTCTCTTCCAACCTAGAAATTCTGTGATTCTGTGATTCTGTGAACTTAGTCTGTGTTGACAAGGCATTAAGTCTTACTATCAGTGACATAAAGATATTATGATCTAGAATGGATAGGTTAAATTAGTCATGAACAGATTAACTAGAATCAAATAAATAGACCAGGGTAGATTAAATTATTTAAAGAGCGATTAGGTTAGGAGTACCGGCTTAGGTGGAATAGATATCTCTAAGAGCTATGTTCAGGTAATTTGAAGGACATTCAACAGTTCTTGAAAGGTTAACAAAAAGAAATCCTCAACTCTGAGTCTCTAAGGTGGTACAGCCATGTTAAACACTAATGAGATCCTGGAATACACAAAGGGGAGGCATTTTCTTTAAAGGGAGTCTGTTAAAGATGCTTCAGATAAGTAAAAGCTTATCTGAAATACAGGTACTATAATTATCATTCAAAAAACAAATTCAGTCTGGAAAAAATAAAGAGAAAAATAGGTATGGCTATGAGGGAAATTCTAAGTCCTGTTTATTAGAAGCCAGAATTGGCTTTCATTCACTGTAATAGGTGAAGTGAGTATCAACCAGCAGCAATATCAACCTTTTAAGAAAAATACTTATCTTATGTATGAAAATGACAGAGACTTTCTTAGGTCAACTGAGAGACTCAGCCTAATATTCTTGATATATTTGATTGAAAACCAGGCATATTTTTTCATAGTGATGAGATAATAGTCACATATTTTAGAATAGACATATGCTGAAATACAATAAAAACTTCCTGAAGAAGGGAATCAAGATATGGCCCAGGTTAAACAGAAGATACTCAACACCTTGCAGAGCTAAACACACCACGATCACAGTCTAACATGGGTTATAGCTGGGTTCTTTTCCTAATTCTTTTTTGTCATATTTTTTCATTTTTCTTTGTTAGACATTTTCATCGGTTGTATTCCTAACAAAAAGAATGTCATTTTTTATTTATGTTCTATTTCTGAATTTTTCCCTGGAGTTAATTTCCTAGATTCAGAAATGTTAATGAATTTTTCTAATGAAGAAAAATCAAACAAAGCTGGCAGAAATAAGGTCAATAAATATGTTATACCATGACTGCCTGTATTTTTTATCAAATTCATTATGAAGAATAACCTCAGTGTAAAATATGTTCACAAAAATCTAAATGAATTTTTGGAAGCTGGCACTTCCATGGCTGCTGATGTTGGCACTAACATACTTTGCATTAGTTTTCCACAGCTGGAGATCTTGATTCACAGACATGAAAAGAATCAAAATAATTTCCTTCTTTTCCCTTTCTTTCCTTCCTTCCTTCCTTCCTTCCTTCTTTCATTTCTGCTTATAAACCCATTTGAATCTCAGTGTAAAATTGTGCACCAGCAGGAAAATATCGGCTGTGGAATGAGGCAAATGGTCCATTGCACAGAAAAGGAGGCAATCCAATTTTTTCCATTGTTAATGTGGAGGCTAAATGGAAATGTATTTATATACAGAGGACTGAAAGGATATATACCCACTATTTAGAGTCTCTGGGGGTGATGCCATAATGGCTGACATCTAGGTATCTGAACACCAGACTTCAACAAAGCATTTTAGCTTTAAGTTTTCCTCTGAAATCAACTAGGCACCTAAAAAAAATTAAGAGTACAGATGTTGTATTGAATCTGGGCCACGGTGTACTTTTATTCCCTTATTCTCAGTATTGCTGAGGGTGACAGGGCAGAAGGCTCTCACTGAGATCATTTTCAGTCCTGTCAAATGCTGAAAAAGTATTGAAAATTACTGTATGGGTAAAATCAGTTCTAATTAGTCTCTGCTGGAGCATAAAATGGGCAAAGGATAGTGAGGGGAGGATGAAAAAAGAAAAATACCAAACACAGGGCTGGTGTCTGCAGGTTGAATGCATCGTGTTTGGAAGGATGCTTGCAATACCTGTAATTGAGCTAAATAGAGAATGTCAGAGGAAAAGCTATTTGCTATTCTAAAGATAAAAAAGAGCTTTCTCTTGTATATAGGTGTGCATAATGACAGTAATAATAATAATTTGACACACATTAAGGTAAGGACTCTTTCAGTTCTATGTGTCCATTATTTTGTTCACATATTACCCATGGCCAAACAAAGAATCTAGCATGCCTATTCTATCGTTCCTGCTCCTGTTAACACTGGAGAGAAAGCATTTCTTCTGCAGAGCAGAAAATCTGTGCTTTCTTTGCTCCCCCCTTTCTGGAATAACTCCCTTCACCCTTCTGTGAGGACCAGAGACGGGGAAGATGTGAGCATCCCTCAGACACTGTTCTGATGGACAGAGAGGGGAACCACAGCCAGGATTTATTTAACACCAGGCAAAGGGCAAACACAACTCCTATACAAGAAACGACCTTTCAGTTTATTTTGAGGAGTATTCAACACTTACAAGGACCTGGCCTCAAGTTTGTAATTCTAAAGATCCCACAGTTTGCAGAGATTAAAACTTCTGTTCCTTTAATGACAGGGATATTTGTCATGCTGATGTGGCAGACAGGTAGGCGTTCTTTTTGCCTCAATAAGGTGAAGATTTATCTTAGACTTATGGGAAAACCACAGTGTAAAGGTACATCCTAAATCTATTCCTCAGCTTTATCTTGGCCCAGCATATGGCAGTATAGATTTATATTGGTTAATCAGAATTCCTCAGGAAGTTAGTCCTGTCTAATACCAAGATCATTAATCTTATGTCTGAGAGATACTCTGCAGATCTGTTGTCACTGGCACACATTAACTATATGACTGCCTCCACTTAGCGAGCAACAATAATGAGTTCATTTCATTTTCAGGATTTTTTTCCAGACATACATTCATCTCATCTGATGTTTCTTACTGAGCCTTCCCAATGCTAGGAATATCATAGATAACAATTATAATCTACTTTATTTTGTAGGAAAATTGGAAGTATGAATATTAAAATCCAAATTATGCTAAAAACTGGGATCAAAGTTACACTTTGTAAAACAAAATAAAGTTTAATCTTTCTGCCAAGAAACCAAACATTTAAATTGCCTTCTTAATTATAATTTACTAAGTCATTAAGTTATGTACTAACTCACATATATGTTCCCCCTGCTGAATTGTTGTATGCATTGCTACAAACATTTTCACATGCCTATATAGAGCTTGCACCTACATGAAGATGCAAGTGTGTAAGAAGGGTAGAATTGTAACACATTATCTATCATTTTAATCCGAACAGAAGCAAGCTTTGTACCTTGCAAATGACTTCAAATTTGTATGCCGTAAGCATTGCATTGACCTATCAGCCAGTGTGCAAATATTTCATTTTTACGTTCCCCAAGAACCCATGAACACTTTCCAGTGATGTCAGGTTCAAAAATTGAGTTTGTGGTTCATTGCTGAGCTGGGACTTGTGTACCTCAAAGCTCTTGTCCAGGCTCAGAGCTTCCTGATCACAGAGAGCTACTCCTTGGAAATGAAGAGGGTAACAATGCTTACATGCTTCTAGTTGTTCATTCTGTGTTGCTCTTCCTCTCAATAGATTGATTTCAGTCTGTGTTCTAATCCAAGAAGCCAAAAGAAATAGTTCTGTAACACCGCCATAGCTAAAATCAGACATAGGATAAATAAAAAATTAAAAAAAAAAAAATCAACACTTGCTGGGATCAGCCTACTATGTTAAATTGCATTGTATAAGCTCATGTATCTTCCTGCTGGCAGAAAGTTTATTACAATGATGATGGCCAGAATGAGATTGTAACCGGTTGAACTGTTGATGGCCAGAATGAGATTGTGACTGGTTCTGGCATCATTTC